GTGGTTGGTGTGGGGAGAGGCTTCTGGAAGCCGGTGGTGGCAGTTGGGCTCTGAGGGTTTTTCCTGAGGAGCTGTTTTGTTTGGCGTTTATAGTTTTAAAAATAAAGTTTGTTTCTTTTGATAAGTGGCTCCTGAATTGTGCCCAGTCAGACTGCTTATAGGACACCAAATGTACAAAATTACAACAGATCTACAACAAGACACATTCTAATGAAAATGCCTAGCATACAGAATAAGGATAGAATTTTAAAGAGAGAACAATCAGATTACCTTAAGGGAAGACCAATTCAGATCTCAGCAGATTTTTCAACCCAGACTCTAAAAGCCAGGAGATCCTGGAACAACATATACCAAAACTCTAAAAGATAATGGATGTCAACCAAGAACCTTATATCCAGCAAAATTAAGCTTCAAATTTGACGATGAAATAAAAAACTTCCATGATAAACAAAAGCTCAAAGAATTTACAGCAAGAAAGCCTACACTACAGAACATTCTTGGCAAAATATTCCATGAGGAAGAAATGAAAAACATGAATGATAATCTGCAAAGAGAAGAACTACAATAAAGGAAAAGCCAACCAAAGGAGAAACCAAATCAAGCTAAATACCAAAAATAAGCAAAATGACCAGTAATATAATTCATGTCTCTTTCAACCCTTTTTGATTAAATTTTTACACATAAAAATTTTAACTACAATATCATCTAATTTTTCAGGTTTTTGTTTATTTTGTAATTTTAGTTTTCCATTTCTCTTCACAAAGTCACTCAAATATTTTCTTTAAAAAGTTTAGTATTTTATGTTATATTTTATTATATTATTAATCTGGTATGTGTATATACATTGTCTGTGATATAAGATGAGGTATATTTTACTTTCTTATAATTAAAAAACTATTATTCAAGATTCAAGATGAAAAAGATAAATCAAGGTAAAAATTGTTTAATAAGGTATTTATAAAGGTAAGGGCAAGTTGAAGGAAACCAACAAATTTTGTGAAGCACCTTTCATTCTGTAGACTTAGAGAGGTAGGTAAAAGAAGAGAGCCATTATGAAAACCTTGTTGGAGAAGGTGAACTAACTTAAGTAATTCCCACCAAAAGCATGAAGAAACCAACTCACAGTCTAATAAAAGTCTTACAGGGAGGAATAAAGGAACCTCACTCTACTCTTGTATATTCTAAGTTCATCTCTTTGGTGTCCCTTTCTGATGGAACTCAACAAGAAATCACATAACAAGGGAACTTATCATGCAGCCTACAGCATGCCTCACTAAAAGGTGAAAGATGAAGAAGCCAATAAGGCAGCCATTGCCTTACTTGGGGCTACTGAGTATTTGAAATGTGTCTAGTCTGAATTGAGATTATGCTATGCATTAAATAGACATTAGAATCTAAAGAATTACTAGGGCAAACAAAATGTACATAAAATATCTTACTAACAATTACTTAATTATAATTAGACATTAGAATCCAAAGAATTACTAGGACAAACAAAATGAACATGAAATATCTTACAATTATTTTCTTTGCAAATTATGTTGGTAATCCATTGGGTTACATGAAAATATATTAAAATTAATTTATCTATTTGTTTAAAAATGTAGTAGTAAAGGAGAACAAGGTAACATGTTCTGTATGTTGACTGTAGTAGTATATATCCATATATATGTAGCCATTTTTTATATTTATGTTGTCAAAATTCATATAACTATAAAACTAAATATGGCAAATTGTACCATATATAAATTATATCTCAACAAACATGATTTTAGAAATCTAGTTCATAAAGTGTTTTAACAGTACTGGACATATACTAACCACCTGATAAATAATGGCTATTATGATGATTCATTAAAACAACCAGCATCAGACTGATTCATAATGGGGTAAGAAGGGGGAACTGGGAGAAGAGACAAACTCTAGATAAGGCAAAGGGGTGGGAGGGGAAGGGAAGGGCATGGGGTTAGAAATTATGGTGGAATGAGATGGACATCATTATCCAAAGTACATGTATGAAGACATGAATGGTTATGAATATACCTTGTATACAACCAAAGATATGAAAAATCATGCTGTATATGTATAATATGAATTATAATACATTCCACTGTCATATATAACAAATCATTATTTTAAAAAAAGAATGGAATATTACTCCGCATTAAAAGATAATAAAATTTTTTAAAAAACAGAAAAAAAATGCTTGAAATCACCATGTACTTACATTCACAAATCTGATCAGATGAGAATGCAGATATACTTTGTAAGCAATATGTTACAGTTTAATATCACTCAAAGAAAGCTGAAAATGAAATTATTATTTGATGTACGGTTACATATACTTTACTCCTCTAATTTTAAAAAATCTATGTATGATTAAGATATAGGCACAGAAATCACACTGAATACTAATCTTAGGGAAAATGAAATAATCTCAACCTGACAGGTATCTAAGTCAAACCCCACTGTTTTAGGGACTCCTTTAACTAGTACAGAATTAAAACTTGTTAAATAAAGAGAGAACATGGATGGACTTGGGAACCAAAAAAAAAAAAATTGGTTTTTTTTTTCATTTTTTTGTTTTGTTTTACTTTGTTTTTGTTTTGGGGTTTTTGTTTTCCTGGTGCTGGGAATTGAACCCATAGTCTCACACTGTGCTAGGTAAGTATTCTACCACTGAGCTACATTTCCAGTCCTAAAATAGAAAGTATTTATCAGCAATTCTTATTTTCTCTCAGAAATAAGATTGTTGGAGAACAAGAACAGGCCAGAAAGAGAAAATAGCCAACACATTGACTTCACACTCTGGAAATACATATTTGCAAGTCTGTTTTTTTCTTTGATACACAGGTTTAGAAAAAGAAACATAGCTTGCAAAAGCAATGAGGTTGGAAACAAAAAATATCACAAATACCTTTTTAAAATGAGAACAAATCACTGGCTATGTATTAAAGTCTATGAATTAAAGTCTTTCCAGTAAAAGTTGTCACCAAATTCTAACAACTTTACTGGAAAAGTTTCAGGCTTTTCAAAACTCTTCAGGCTTCATTAGCATATACCCATGATGCTGTGAATTTTTTCTAATTCTGACTCTAGTTACCCTTGCCTTTAAATTGTACTGCACAATGCAAAACTTATTTCTTTTATCAAATAAATTTTTGCACCTTACCCTACTCAAAACTCTCCAAAACAGGCTTATGTATGACCTCAAACCTTTATTTATACTATCCTTTTGTTCTAGGGTCTCCTTTGTTTTCCAGGACATACCATTAACATTTATTTTCAGTCTGGCTTTTCTGCCCCTCTCCATATGATACAGTCTATCCATTTATACGAATTCTGTAAGGCCAACACTTATTGGGCATTTACTGTGCTCCCAACACAAATGTATCGTTGCAAGTCCCAACATTTTCTCAAGCTCTTTATTTCAGTGGGCAAGGGAGACATCCCTAATGACTCTCCTCCACTTAATAGGCAGATGGAGACAGAAATGCCCGTTTACTCCATCATTTTAAGTCACACTTATAGAGCTGTGAGATAAGTCAAACAGACGGAGGCAAAGGTTCAAAGACGCTCTGAGGAGATGGCTGTACAAGAACTTTAAGAGGCGCACGGACCCGGACGGTCTCAAGTTTCTTAAACTACTTCTCCCAGGAGGAGCGCAGGTAGGAGACTAGCCAACATTATTACCTTGACCAGCCACACGCCGGTGTTCTGCTTGGCGCCGGTTAAGTCGAGTTCCCCGCGCTCGGCCATAGGTCTGTCGCGCGTGGAAGCGAGCGGGCTGAAGCAGCGGCCTGGGGAGCTGGAGCTGCGGGGCGAGTGTGGAAGCAAAGGGCGAAAAGCGGTAGAAAGTAGAAGGAGAGAAGCCGGGGTACCTCGCTTACTAGGATACCAGGAACCCAGAGAAAGGAACGCGCCGCTGGGAACCGGAACCCGCGCCTGCGCACTGCTACGTCAGTACGGCGCGCTGCTGCGAACAATCTTCATGCTCCCGCAATTTCTTAGGTGGGCGTGGCTGCTGGCGGTGTGCTTTTGGGTGATTTAAAAGTAGCGTAGAAAAAGCCAAAACGGCTGCAATGCATTTAAAGACAAATTCTGCATAAATTAAGAAAAATAATGTCAAAACGGAAAAATGGGGTTCAAAGAGACAAAAATMCGAGCCAAAGAGAGCGAACATCTGAATGACAAGGAGGTGGTAATAGATTGGCACTCTGTCAAAGCTCTTGAAGCACAAATCCACACTGGGTCGGACGGAGTAACCCTGGGTATATTGAAAACATGCCACTTATAAACTTGAAAAGAAAGTGGTGTCTCAACTTAGAGGCTGCGCCCAAGCTCTTCTGATTAAGCAAGAAGAGCACATCTCTTTCAAACTCCAAAATCTGGATACTATATAATTGGATCTGTAACAATACAACATGAAAGAGACGAAACTGATTCTTTAACTTCCGTGCTTAAGCCTTTTCTTCTTTCTCCTCTTCCTTCTAAAATAAAGTCAAACTTCTGTTTCAACTGAGCGCTCTCTGTTTGGTCCCTTTATATTCACTGTGGTGCACATACAACCGCACCAAATCCATCCACCTCTCTGAACTCATCAGGATCTTTCTCAGTCACTTCAGATCTGGGCAGAGTGACTCTGCAGAGGTCTCCCTTTCCCTCCAATGAATTGTCTCATCCTTTCCCTCACTCTCATCCTTCTCCTTTGGTTGGTAAACTTCTACTTTTGACTAATGAAAATGTTACTAATGCAAATGTTACTTCCTATGAGACCTTTTATCAACTCTCCCAAAAGAAGTTCAATAGCATACTACACTGTAAACATATGCATGTCTACCTTTGTCTTCTAGACTATGAACTCCTCCTAGGCAGAAATACTGCTTTCCACCACCACCACCCAGCTTTATTGAGTCATAAGTGATGAACAAGAAATAGTGCTTTGTGTACAACTAGAGATATGAAAAATTGGGCTCCATATGTGTAATATGAGTTGTAATGAATTCTGCTGTCATATATAACAAATTAAAATTTTAAAAATAGTGGTTTATTCATTTCATATGTGGAAGGGCTAGCACAGTGTTTGACTATTGTCAGATTTCAGTAGACTTTGTTTCTTTCCAGTGAATGTTAATTCAACCAAACAGTAAAGTATTGTAAAAATGGCAAGTAATTTATTCAATCACACATGAGAGCCATGCACAAAATTTTAAAAATTCTATTTCTGTGCTGCATAGGGCCAAGAAAAGCTGTCAGATCTTTGAGATCGAATGGCAAAAATAATAAGAAAAATAAGAGGGACCTGAAAAGGAAGATTGAATTCTTGTGTAACAGCTTGGAAAGGCCCTAAAAATTATAAAGAGCAAGCAGATGAAGGGAACGGCTTTAAATTTTTATCAAGTAAAAAATATAAATTAAAATGTAAGGCCATGAGAGAAGGGAAGTAAAGTAGCCTAGAATACCCTAGGGTTGAACTTTAAAGTAAAAGATTGTGAACTTGACCTTTATCTATGGACTTTTTACCTAAATACACAAACATCAAGGCCTTAAAATATGAGAATGTGGGGATGAGAGATTGGGATAGAAAAACCCACTAAAGAAGAAGCTATTGAAGAAAAAAAAAAGTAAAGATTTGAAAATGATTATACAGAAAAAAAGGAAATAAATAACAATTTATTCAGCACCTCATCCTTGTATACTGTTGGTCAAAGAACAATCTTCCCTATCTATCTGTCCTTTCTTCTTCTCCTTCTGGTTTGAGAAGGGATGTTTACAAAGCTGTGAGAGAAGAGGAAGACATGACCTCTGTGAGCCAGATTGGCAAATTTATTCTGGAGATCTAGAAAATGATAGACATTACAGCTAGATCTTTCACCTAGCTAAGACCTTTATGCCAGACACTTGACTAGGTGTTCTATGCATATCATCTCATTTATTCCTTGTAACAATTCACTAGGGCAGGTATTATTATTCCTCAATACAGCCCCATAATTATTAAAGTATCAACTTCCAAGAACTGAGACCATGTCCTAGTTTTCTTCACAGTGGAGTATGGTATCCAAAAGCCAGTACCTAAGAAAGGTACTTTCAAATTCCTTACTCTCCCACATGGTTGACTACTCAAGTTCTTATCAAGTCTTTTAAGCACAAATGCAATTCTAGGAGGCAGGGCCCAAAATTCACTGCTGGCTACAACTTTTCCAATAAGTCTAATAGTGCTTAGACCAAGCTGCAACTCCATCTTTAAGACTTCAGACCTTAAGGCAGCCCTCTCTGCATACTAGACCCTGTTTTGTGGGTCTTCTAGACTAACTGCAACAGAAACAGATCCCAACCACATGCTCCATTTTTAAATGAGTATTCTCTGTGTCTAGTACCTCCTACCTGCATTAGCATTCTCTGAAGGATGCCCTAAAAATGTAGACCTGAGCCATTATCCAGGTAAACAAAATCAAAATTTCCAGAGATGGGTCTGAAAATTGTTATCTTAGCAAGGTTCCCAATTATTTCTTAAGCACATCAAAATCTGACAATCATTATTCTAATCCTGCATCAATAGAGTTTATTCTGATGGGGCCAGCATCAAAGTTCTGAAGCATGAGAAGAAAGCTTACTAGAAATTTGACTTACAGCTAGAATTTCCCCATGTCTTGTAAATTCAGAACTCTACAATTCTATGAGGTAGCCATTGGAGTAGAAGCAGCAACACTACTAGAAGATATGTTACAAGTGAGTTGTGGGAATTTGAATGGCATGTTCACAGCACTTGTAGACTGGAAGGAGAGTTTTAAATTTGTGTATTAAATAATCACATTAACTTTTTTGTGTGGTACTGGAGATTGAATCCAATGACACTCTACACTGAGCTACATTCTCAGCCCTTTTCATTTTTTATTTTGAGACTAATTGCCCAGGCTTGTATTGAACTTGTGATCCTCTGGGGTTTCTGGGCCTACAGGCATGCACCACTGTGCCCATCTCAGATTTACATTTTTAAAAGATCCTTCTAGTTGGTTTGGAGAAAATGTATTGGAGGGAACTGGAATGGAAGCCAAGAAGCCAAGTGAGGTATTTATTGCACTAATCCAAGTGGGAGAGGACAATGGTTTGGATTAGGGAAATGGGATCAAGAGAAGCAGATGAATCCAGAACATATCAGAGATAGATTTAGGAGGTAGAATTGATAAAACTTTGTGATTCTTAGCTGTAGCAAAATAGTACCAACTACCAAGTGATAACTCAGTGCAATAAAACAAAACATACACATACAACAACATGGCTCCTTCTGGGAGACCAGACAGGACTCTGCATATATTTGCCTGATGGATGACATGATTCTGTTGAATTTCTTCTGTAAATGCCTTGTGTCTGATCAAACATATGGCTGCTGTGTCCTGCAAGAAACCTTCACTCTCAGTAAGTCAGTTTAATTGCCCATTAGGGATTACTGTAGGCATAAGTGTTAAATAAAGCATGAGAAAATTTAATTTATCATTGCTGTAATGAAATCCAATTTGTTTTTGTGTATAGTTTATCAAAAACATTTAAATTATACTTTATATATTAAATAAAATTATAGTTAGAAAATAGCACTAATCAAAATGCCCAGATAAAATTCCCAAATAACAGTAAGTCCTAAAATACCATATTAAACAGATGGATCCTCACTACTGTTCAGATTTCAAAGCCAGAAAAGCCACGCGGGCGGAATATCAATGAGGAATTATGTCCACCATTCTCCTAAGGGCAAAAAGCTCCCGTTTTGATGGATAAGACTTTTTACCTAAATACACAAACATCAGGGGCAGGAAAGTTTCCCCATCCAGAGTTAGGCGAAAATATTAGATAAATATCAGTGGGTGGTAGCCAGGAAAGTTCAATTTATAAAAGCAGAGCTCTTGCCTTAGTTCTGTCGGCAAAATTTTCACTTTGCTCTGTGTAAACAACTCAGCTGACATGGCAGCTCTGCTGCACAAAGTTGTTGAGGGTGTGGGGACTTTCCATCTTGTATTTTATCATCTCTGGTGTGTTGTCCTGTCTACACAGTAGGCCACAATGTCTGCATTTTCCAGCCAGTAGAAAAGAAGGGGAAACGCAAAAAAGACTGTTCATCACCTTGGTCAAAGCAAAAAAAAAAAAAAAAAAAAAAAATATATATATATATATATATATATACACACACACACACACACACACATACCCACACACATATATATGCACACACATACATATATGTACATATAGTATATATATATATATATTATAAATATATATGCATTTGTATATATACAAACACAATTATAGTCTGTTTAGATTGAGATCCAAACAAGGGCCATACAATTTGGTTGATTTTTATGTCTCTTGGTTCTATTCCCTTCTCCACTACCTTCTCTCCTTCCCCCTCCTGTTCCTTACCTCCTCCTCTCTATCCTTTGCTCTTCCCCATTGTTGAAGAAACTAGATTATTCGTCCTGTACAGCTTTTTACATTCTGGGTTTTTCTGATTGACTCCCTAGGGTCTCATGTTTGATGTTACTTTCTTCCTTCCTTGTATTTTCTAAACATATGAGTTAGATTTCCAGGCATGATCAAACTCAGGTCTGATTTCAGTGGGGGGAAAAACAATTTACTCATGTGTGGCCTTGTGCACTTCCAGCATGAGGCACATAACCTCCTTCATTCTTTCCGTGACACAGGCAGTCATTAGTAAGCATTGACCAGACCTAGTAATTCATCAGAGGTTGTAAAGTTGTTATTACTTCTCTGGAGAAATTTTCTCGTCATTGTTCCCATGAGACATAGCATAAAAACTTAAGTGAAGGCATGCATGAGAGACTTTCATCATGTGAAGGCTGGGTAGTTGGTCAATATGTACTTGGATTCAAAAATGCATCCTGAGAAGGCTGGGATTGTGGCTCAGTGGTAGAGTGCTCCCCTA